AATAACAAAAGAAAAAAACGTAGCAAAATAAAAGTAACAAAAACAACAACAACAAAAAAAACCAGTGTCACAATGGAGACTGTGAACCGCCACGCTACGCGACAGCACCAAAGTACTCCTTGGACTTTTCGGGATCCGGCTTCATCGTCTTGTCACCGGGCTTCCAGTTGGCGGGGCACACCTCGCCATGCTTCTCCACGAACTGGAACGCCTTCACAAGGCGAAGGGCCTCGTCCACGTCGCGGCCAACGGGGAGGTCGTTGACGGTGATCTGCCGCAGGTTCTGCTTCGGGTCGATGATGAAAAGGCCACGGTACGCCACGCCATCCTCCTCCTTCAGCACACCATACGACTTCATGATGCACTTGGTCTTGTCGGCAAGAATGGGGATGTTCATCTGGCCAAGTCCGCCACGCTTGCGCTCAATGCTTGTCCAGGCCAGATGGGAGTACTCGCTGTCCATGGAGCAGGCAAGCACCTCGCAGCCAATGTCAGAGAACTCCTTCACACGGTCCGAGAATTGGCAGATCTCTGTGGGGCAGACGAAGGTGAAGTCCATCGGGTAGAAGAAGAGCACCAGCCACTTGCCCTTGTAGGAGGTGAGAGCCACCTTCTTGAAGGTGCCGTTGGGCATCAGCGCCGTCTCATTGAAGTCGGGCGCCGGGTGGTTGAGCTTTGCGTCTCCGCAGGACATTGTCTTGGAAAAATAAAAGGTTGGTTTTTGTGTTGCTTATTGTGGTTACTGAGTAGTATCTGGCAATTGCGCGGCAAAAACAACAACAGATAACATGAGAGAATAAAGACAGAGAGAACAGAGTGGTGCTGACGCGCGTCAGTGTCTCCGTCAAAAACGGCAGTGGGAGAGCTCTTCACCCATTCTTCATCGGGCTTCGTGGCCGTGTGGGTCTGCAGCCACAGCGAAGCGACAGGGGGAGAAGACACGATGAGAAAAGAGGCACATGAAGCGGACATAGCCGGTTGTGTGTGTGCGTGCGTGTGTCCTCCTTCATCTGCGTCTTATTTTTTTTCTCCTTCTATTTTCTTTCCCTCTTCCTTTCCTTTTTCTTTTTTCTTCAAGATTAACTTTTTTTTTTTTTTTTTACTTCTTTTACGTTTTTATTTGAGAATATTTTCTCCTTCTCTCTTCTTCTTTTTTTTTTTTTTTCATGTTTCCTCTTCCTGTTGCTTAATAAATTCTTGTTAATCCGCCCCACACTTCTTAAGCCGCCTCTTTACGGAGGGGTAAAAAGGTTCTGGTGAAAGAAACTAGTCAAAACATCTTCTCTTTCCTCCTTTCCGTGCACCTCCATGTTTTTTTTTTTTTTTTTCTCTTTTTTTTAAATTTTTATTTCAATTTGTCTTCTCTTGTAGTCCTCTTCTTTGGCTGTGTGTCGTTAAAATAAATAAATAAAAATATATATGTATATATATTGTTGTTATTACTTCTTGTCATTTCTCCCTCACTCCTCGCACTTGTTGTGTTTTTTATGCGGTTATTGACGGCAGACATGCATGCATGCATGTCAGAGTCTGTAAGGTATGGGGGATGCACACACACACACACACGCACACGCACACATTGGCGCGGTGACAAACAGGAAAGGCTGGGCCTGTAAACATATACAAATATATATTTATATGTATATATATATATTTACATTAGAAAATTACTTTTTTTTTTTTTTTTCTTCTTTTCCTTCTCTGCTGGCCTTACATGTCTACTGCTGTTTGCATTCCTGCTTCCCTTTACCGCCACGGCCACCACGGCCACCACGGCCACCACTACCACCTGCACCGCCACGGCCCTTTCCACCGTGTTGGATGAGCCGCGGCTGCGTGTTTGGCGCGTCTTCATCCTCTTCATCATCATCGTTCTCGTCCTCGTCCTCGTCGTCGTCATCGCCACCAAATTGAATTTGAATTTGATTATGTAATGCCTGCGCTGTCTGATCAACCGACTTCCCTGTGTAGAAGAATGCGGCCTTTGGCACAATCTCCTCCATCAACAACTGCCCCACCTCAATGTGTAGTTCAGCTTCTGCCTCCTCTTCATCATCGTCATCATCATCGTCCTCCTTATCCCCTTTCTTACCCGCATCCCCGCTATGCTTGCCGTCCTTACCGTTGTCGTCGTCGTGATCATCGTCCTCGTCGTCATCTTCGTCCCTGCATGGATCGGTAAAGAGGGTAAAGAAAGACGGGCACTTCTCCTCCTGTGTCACCACGCGGATGCTCTTACTCTTCTTGTGACGTTGCTTCTTCTTCTTCAAAATGACAGTGAGATTCTTTTCCGGTGACTTCCACTCAACGGGAGTGGCTTTCATGGAGTCAATCTCAAACTCCCCGCTATCCTCATTAAAAGACATGCGGTACGTCTTGCTGAGCACCGTGTTTGTAAAATATTCATTCGGGGCAAAATGGAAGTTCAAACGAACGCCCTTCTGCGGATCATCCTCCACGTACTCCATTACAATGTCCTGCAAAAAACTAAGGGCGTGGCGGTCACGTTCCGTGATCATAGACTCCACCACCTCCGCGTTGCACATTGCGGTCAGCCAAAAGTCCGGAATGCCTCCATCTGCGGCGGTCGCGGCAACCTCAAGACGGCTCTTTTCTTCTTGCGGCGTAACCACCCGCACGGACTTGGCCGCCTTCTCGTCAGTACCCGCCGTTGCCCCCCGCGGCTGAGGTTTGCTCTTCCCTTCCTCGCCGTCTTCGTCGTCGGACGGGATCTCCTGCACACCGGAGGCCAGCGTCGTCGTCACCGCGGCGATCTCCTCCTCGGTCACATCGCGTAACCCGCGCACAATCGCGGCGCGCACGTCGTGGAGCCGCTGGGCGGCACGCAGATGGTCCATTTGAAGGATGGCAAGCTCCTCGCGAAACTTCGTGCGGGCCTTCTTGTATTCATCCAGTATGCCCTTCAGCGCATACACCTTGCGGCGCTCATGCACCGTCATCTCCTTCATGACGGCAACCAAGTCAAAGTCATCTTCAACCTCCTCTTCATCGTCGTGCTTCGCACCCTTCCCTCCTCCAAAGCTCACCGGGTCAAAAAATTTCGGCGGCAGTTGCTTCTTCTGCATGAATTCCCTTCTTCACCCCCTTAAGTTTTCCTTTTCTACCCTCAACCACTGCAGTGCATCCGTGGTAACACATGTGGTATATGTGTAAGTGCAAGGAAAGTAACGAAATAAAAAAAATAAAATGGAACAATTTCCTCAAAGTAAATTTCGTTGCAACAACACAACAATTGCGACTGAAGAACAGTGCGGCCACACAAACAACAAACAACAAATAAATTACAAAAACAACAACAACAGCAGCAAAAAAGTCCATACGTGAGAAAGAGACATCATAAAAAAAAAAAAAAAAAAAAAAAAAAAAAAAAAAGAAGGAACAACGTGAGTTTTTACGGATTTTCCACCTTCATGCGTTTGGTCACGGGCGCCATATTGCTAGACTTGTCATTATCCTCCTCTTTTTCCTCCTTCTTCGTATTCTCATTGCCATGCGTGCTATCCGTGGCATCAAATGCCGCCAAGATCGCTTGCAGGTTTTCGTTCGCGGTTTTCATGACTTTATTGACCTTTCCGACATCCAAGTTTGCTTTGGCTGCAAAGTTGGCGCAGATGGCCTCCGGGCTGTTCGTGCTGCCGATAACACTGTTGCGTGTGGTGTCCACAACGGTTGTTTTTTTCTCCCACTGAAAGCTGCGCGATGTGAGTGCAAGCAACAACGACATGATAATTTTGTCCACAACCCCCACCTCGCGGAGGGAATCGACTTGATGAAGCACCCCCAAAAGCCGCTTGCAGCGCGGCATGTAGAGTGACAGTTGCAGACTAAGTTTTCGAAGGTATATTGTAAGGAGGTTGTCCACATACATGGCCTTAAGTCGACGCTCTTCCTCCTCCATGTGTGTCTCCTTGACGATTTCTGCCCGCCGATACTCGACATCGCCAAGTGCGGCGTCAAGATGGCGCAGCTCCGCAAGTGGCACGGGGTGACTCATCTGTTCGGCCGCAATCATGAAGCAGGCCGCTGCAACATCCTGTTGCTTCTCAATTCGCTGACCACGTGCCCGTCGGCCACCCACAAACCGCCTCGCTAACTCAACCGCACGGCCAATCACCTGCTCTGGCAGCGCCGACTTCTTCTGCAGGCCTCGGATACAGTTAATCATGGCCGGATGGAGTATGATTTTGGCCGTCGTGTCCCCACCGGGTGTTTTCGATGCCGAGGACGACAAGGAGAGAGCATTAAGCGTAGACACACTCGTATCTTCACGCTTGCGATGCCGGTCAACATCATCATATGTGGCGTCCTTGTCGTATCGCGTGGAGACGCTCTCTTCAAGTCCCATAGCCACAACAATGGCACACTCCGTGCATGCCACTTCACCAAGCACGTCGTCCGTCTCCAGGCTATCGATGGCGCCGCAGTGGGGGCAGTTCTTCCCCAAAAAGTCCGCCGTAGTTGCCATTTTTTTTTTTTTGTTGTTGTTCCCCGCAGCTGTCCAGGTACGCCCCTCTTCTTCCGTCACCTCCTTCGTTCCGGTGGCTGCGGGATTTTTGTTGACTCCCCAGTTGGAGCTCTCAGAGACGCCTCCTCCCTAAAAAAGCAAATTCCCACACCCTACATTTAAATAATAATAATAATATTTTGGTTAAATGGGAACAAAAGCAGATGAAAGTAAAATAGAGAGTGACGGCAAACCAGCAACAACAACAATAAAGTAGTCAAAGGGATGCCGCTGAGCCAAATGACATTTTGTGGAACTTCCCTTCAGCGGAGCCACCCTCCTTTAAGATGTATATATTCGTCATTCGTCGTGTGTTTCCCTCACGGCCCCGCGAGAAGCAAAAGAGACAAAAAAAAAATAAATAAATCTCGACACATCTACGCCACCAGAATGAAACAGCGAAATAAAAGGGCACGTGCCAACCTTTCTTCCCGAAAGAGGGCAAAACGAGCTGTCTCCTCATCACGTTTTAAGGGCATTGACGTCTCAGAACGCAGGGCCGGCACTTCTTCTTCTTTTTCTCCCTCTTCTTCCTTCTTTTTCGCTTCATCCATCAACACTTGCGGCACGTCAGCCTTCAGCTCCATCGTGGGGAATTGGTCGCCTTCTGCGGAACCACTGCATGCCTGCTTCGTCCAGGTTTGATCGGCGTCATGAGAGCCAATAGTTGCAACTTTTTTCTTGTCATCATCCACAGACGGAGACACCTCTTTCTCCTCCAAGGCGCACAGAGCAACATCTCCCTTGGAAACAGTGACTTCGCTCCGCGTTTGTGGTTCGTTTTCATGCGGTTTCTCTTCATGGTGCGTGATATCCGTTTCTTTCTTTTCCTCAGGTGCCTTCTCAAGGCAGAGCACGTCGCCAAGACGTCTTTGTCGTGGGGCACGAATTTTACTCGTTTTTGTAGACGCTCTTAGCCGAAGGCGTTTGCTGCTATCTTCATGGCTCGTAGGGGTTTTTTCTAAGGCGCCCTGTTCTTTTTTCGCCAGGTCATCATCACGGCCAGTTTGGGTGGACGGGGGCGACATGTCCTCCAAGACATCGTCCCATCCCTCTTTCTTTTCCGTGATGGATGGAGACGTTTTAAGGGCAGATGTTATCACTGGGGGAGACGTCCTGGGAAAATGTTCCATGCGTTCTCCTTCGTTCTCCCCCTTATCCTCTTCTCGTTCCTGTTTTAACGGCGCAATGGCCGTAAATACGTTGGAAGTGTCGTTCTTGGCACTCGCGGTTGGTGGTGGAGCCACGGTGGTTATAATTTGCCTTTGCAGTCGTGAAAAGGCACCAAAGAGCGACTCGGAGGCATCCAACAATGCGTTAAACCCGCCAGCCTCCACAGACGTCGCTGTTGTGCTGTCCATTTGGATAAGTGGCGCCAGTGCATTCGCTGGCGGTAACGCCTCGACAGGTGGTGTTGCAGTTGCTTTTACTGCGGCTCGTGTTGCCGCAGGAGGAGGCGCCAATGACGACGATGATGTTGGCAGCGGCGATGGTGCTTGGATTTCTTTTCGTGGCGATGGCTGCCGCAAAAACACCGATCCCTTTTCTTCCGTCGCGGCAAGTTGGCGCTGCTGCCACTCAAGGCAGGTGTGCTGTCGGCTGCTCCGCCTCATCGTGTCCGCCCCCTTTTCATCACCCGCCTCCTCTTGACGCCTTTGCAGCTCCATCTCCCACTGCGCCTCCTCCTCGCGCCACGCCTCCTCCTCCAGCCGCGCCTCGTACCGCCGCTGCGCCATCATCTCCTCCCTCGCAAAGAGCTCATAAAAGGTGTCGCGATGCGCCTCCTCCTCCTCTACAAGAGAAAGACGTAGACTGTTCTCGGCGTCAAACACGGCGCACTGCTGGTTGGAGAGATCAACGAGTATTTTGTGCTCCACAAAGCAAACGGCCTCCACAGCAGACCGTGACTCCCGCTCTTGCAATAGAAGATAGCGGAGCTGCCTTTGAAAACACTCCATCGCATTCTTCCATAACACACGCACCCCACGTCGAAATGCCTCTTTCATCAGAGAAAAAAAATTAAAACCAAATGTCAATAAAATGTCCTCCTGTTCAATAACAAAGACAACAAACACACGCCGACGTTGTTCCTCCCGCAGCGCCAGATACAATGTTCCCAGAGCAGCACAAAAGGCGCTACTACCAATAAGGTTATCATACTCCTGCCTCAAGTGTCGCTGTAAACTTTGTCGTACATAAGCCTCCTCTTTAAAAAGAAGTTCGAGTTCCGTTGAAAACATTGATATGCCGCTTCCCATATCATCATTACTATCCATGTGAACTGTACTCCCTCCACGGGACGAGGAATGGCAAGCATCTTTTCGTACGGCTCTCAACAACGCTGCACTCACATTCCTTTGCTGCAGGGCCTCTTTCATGCGGGCCATATCCCTGACAACTTGTTGGTGCACTTCATTCCGATGGTACACATCCCCCTCCGCTTTCTCTTGATCGGGAAGAGAAAGACGATGTGAGAGCAGACGGAAAAGAAATTTCTTCTCCTGTCGGTGCAGCTTCGCCCACCGGGAGTGTGCCGCTTGACGAACACATTGAAGCATCTCACCTCGCACATCCTCTGAAACCGGCCTCTCCTCCTTTTCTCCACGTCCCAGTTCCGAATCCTCCATTAGGGCCAATGATTCATCGAGAAAAAGAAACAACACGGCGTGGGAGTACAGCGGTGCTGCCTTTTCAAAGGCAGAGATGACTAGCGCAAGATTCTCCGCCACATCGTTCAGATACACCTTGCTGTCCCACCACAGCGTGTCTCTTTTTAATTTTCCCAGAAGGGGTTTGGCGTCGTCCACTTCCGACGTCCTCGACGATAACAACCCCTCGTCTGCACGTTGTATCGCCAGTCGCATTTTGTGCAGGACATATGAACGTATTCTTCGCCGCATGACTTCCACGGCAACCACAAAGCGCGGTGGTTCATTGGAGATTACTTGCAAGGCCAAAAAGTACATTTCTGCCGGAGAGAAGGTAAAGGGTATGTCCTCGGTTGCCGCCTCACTCCCGCTGCGGGGTCCCTCAGACAGTGTGGTACACGACGCCTCAAAGGCGTTGAAAAGCAATGAAAGACACTGAACTTCAAGACAGTCCGCAACGTGCAGGTTAATCAATCGCCGTATTTCATGCAGCGTCTTTATCCAGACACGTTCAACACTTTCCGTCTCGTCCAGTGGCGGTCCCAGCACGGCGGCGCTCGGTAAAGTCGGAGAAACCGCAGTGGCGGCAAGTGCACACCCTACAGTTCCCTGTTGATCTCCCACCGCAGCGAACACTCGCGGGAACGTTGACAAAAAGACAGGCCGAAGAAATTCCAGCAGCAGGACGGCCCTGGGAACAGATTTCTGAAGCGTTGCCCCACTGCTTGCAAAAAGTGCTTCATAAAGCAGCTGCAGGAGATTGGGGTTAAAGGCAGCTGACTCGTCATTCTCCAGCACAAGTGTCCACAAAAAAAGGATAAACTTTTCACTGTTCGTGTCATCTGTGGGACTACAAACCCCCAAATCTGTGAGGGCGCCTCTCAGAAGAGACGCCGTGGAGGAGCCCAAGATATGGTGCATGGCCCGACTGATATTGCTACCGCCGCCTCCTGCATAGATGTCCCCGCTCGGAGGGGCTTCAGGAGACCTAAAATAATTTCTTCTTTGACGCTCGGTGAAACAGAGCGCTAAAAGAGGAACTTTCGCGGCGCACAACGCGTTCAGCACCTCTGCTGCCCGTTCCACTCGATCCCCACACAACCAACGCAACACTTGCGCCGCTCTTGAGACGAAGCGGTGCGACTCCTGCGTTTTTCCGCTCCTGTCAGCGGTGGCGAGGTGGAGGATGAGATACACCACCGGCAGGCCACCGGACATGGCAGTAAGCGGCCAGTCCTCAAGGAAACTGAAGTTCCATTCATGCAGAAATTCCAATAATGCCCCAAGCGTACCATCGGACTGCAGGCGTTCCTGGACGGCAAAGAAGACGATTTGACTTATGTCCACGTTCGGGGCAGAAGATGCTTCCGCGGCATCCTCACACGCCACAGCCACTTCCAAAAGAAGCTGCAAAAAAACAATAAAAGGATTTCGCACGTCATCATCTTTCCACACGGCAAACGATGCGATCTCGCGCAGCGAAAGATTGCCACGCATAAGAACCACCAGAGCATGCTGATATTTGGACGTATTTTGAGATCGACGTAAGTGCCTTAAGAGATCATCAAACGCGCGACCTCCGCCAGACTCACACGCAGCCATTTTTTCCCACTTCTGAACGACATCCTCCAGAAGAATTTCGCCCTCGCCCTCATCCTCACTACTAAGGGGGATATGATTCACCCAAGCAAAGAGCGCGGCTACCAGTGGTAACCACATATCACTTTGTCTTAATAGCCAATACATGCTACGTCGTTCATTGGGTGCGAGCAGAGAAACAAACGAATCTTCATCGCGTACTGCCGAATCGCGACGTCCCGGTAATAGTTTTTGAGTGTTGACAGCCCCAAGCACAAGAAACGTGATATCACGAAGGATGCTATTGTCGGCGTGTGCAATCCAATCCAGTTCCACAAGGAAAGTCAATAGAAAATGACGAAGAGCATTGGCCAATTCACGAACTTCCTGCGTGACGTTCACCTCCATAGACTGAGAAAGTTTCTCCAGAATTGACATCGTCACAACAGCACTTCTTCCCAAAGCCACGCTTCGCCATGCCTCATACATCACAGCTTCGGGAACCGTACCATCTAGCAGGGACTCGTGCAACATACCTTTACTGAGGCCATCGGCCTTCGACAGACTCTTGTTTCGCATGACGACAGAGCGAGCAAGACACGCAGCTAGTATTTCATTTGTCCCCAAATCATCATGGAGAGCGGTTTTCCCACCTTGTGGGCGTGTATATAGCCACTCAGAGGCCTGGATTTTCTTTCCATTATCGGAATTCTGCTTCTCCGAAGTTATTTCAAGAACATACGTCAAACGAGTCTTCTTCAACAATGTGTTCACACTTACAAAACAACGCAGTGCTCCATTCTTTGAGGCCGCAGGAGGTGAGGATGCAATGGAGGTAGGCAGCGTGTGATACCATGAGGTGGCATCCTCATCACTCATCGTGGCATTCATGACGGTGATGTTAGCATAACCATTTTCTGCAGTATTATCGGGGTACAACACCATGGAGGAAAGAGCCTTTCCAATGGGTAGTGGTGCGGTGCCAATCCAGCAGACAGTACGTGGGATTGGGAAACGACCATGTCGACTCTTTGCCCAAGGTACACCCGCAACAAGATACAAACCCTGTCGGCCGCTTTTGATAACATCCAACTCCGTACGAACATGACCTATGCCATC